AGAGAGAGAGAGAGAGAGAGAGAGAGAGAGAGAGTTTGCTTTTAGTAAGAGTTTATATTATAATGGCACTTTAAATACAATAAGGTCATGGAATACAAGTGCTGGACAGAAAATTAAACAGTTACCAGTCAGGGAATGTGGCAAACAATACTTGCAAGTGTAAGCTATCCTTAATTTTGAGATTGAGATTTCCGCGTTCGTGTTATCTGTGCCTGTGAGGACAGAGTTAGAATTGGAGGATGCAGCTCCCTTCTATCCCCCCCCCTCTCTGTCTCTCTCTCTGTGTGTCTCTCTCTCTCTCTCTCTCTCTCTCTGTCTCTCTCTCTCTCCCACTTTCTCTTTCTTTTGTCTCGACACAGTGTCCCTTTCTGTTTTTGTTTTTTTAAGTCTCTGTCTTTGTCCCTCACATTGGGCATTTAAAAGGTGTTACATGACATTACATCCCCTTGCCAGATTTGTCCAAGTCATTGCACGCACACTAGATTCCGATTCAAAAATGAACTCTTGTTTCTTTCTTTTTTACCTTTAATTTAAATTTTTTTAAATTCTTTTAAAATTGTAAGTGTTTGACACAATCTAGGTCCTTTTTTAGGAGAGAGGTGGTTTTCGACCCTGCCTGTCTTAAATGTTACTCGCGTGGCAAAGGCAGTCACACACAAATTGTGACAAATTTCCCCTAAAAACAATTATAACACTCTCAAAAGAAGAACCACAAGAGAAAGAAAATTTTGCATTACATACATTTTGTCAAATACTGGCATGGGCAAGGGTACAGCACTGTGGCAGAGAAAGACTAGACGCAGCAGGGAGAACAGAAGAATCTAATAGGACAAGTGTCAACTTGACCAAAAGTCTGCTAACGCAAAGAGTCTACAAGGAACTTTTAAAGAATTATAATCTTGTGAATGCCAAAGACATTGATCTCTACTTATTAATTCGTAAATGCGCCATTCCATTATAAATGAAACTGGAGAGACACATGATGTAACTTTGAGATGATGACCAGCTGAAAAAAGTCCATATATTTACAGTGACAAAGAGATTTTTGTTATTTATTTTTATATATATGGGTTGTTGTTTTTTTGCTGCTGCTGTTGTTAATAAAACTTTTTAGGCAACCGTCCTGTGACAATTTAAAATTTTAAAAAAAAAAAAAAACGCTGCCTCCATCAATTACTGTTTGAGAGTTTTTTAGCATGGCATGTGCAGTCAGCTGTTCATTTTGTACAGTTTGGCATGTATACATGCCCCAAATTATGATCTTGATAGGCTAGGCCTACCTGTTGAAGGAGCTCAAGGAATATTTAGACAAAATTCAAAATTCTATGTAGAAAAAAGCAAGAAAAATACCTAGCCTGCAATTGTTAAAAGAATTCCATGTTAGTCTCTCTTGGAACTCTCCTGGAAAAAAAATTGCTGTCTGCTAGTTAGGCTTCTAAAATAAGGACAGTTGAACAGCTTGCCGGCTATTGGGCGACAGTGACACTGTACAGTTAATTTCATCAAGGAATGGCCTTGACATTATATGATGGTAAAGACAAATACATAATTCATCAAAACATTTTTTTAAATCTTATACTACTAACCATACATTGTCATGTTGTTAGCCTAGATTTCTATCATACATAAGCTGTGACAGTGAAAAAAGTCATTATGTGTGTAACTTTTAGACAAGATGAATTCGATTTACGAAGAGAGTCTGTTGCCTTATTATAATTTAAAAATTAAAGTGAAGGGGGGGTGGGGGGAGGGGTTATTATTCAAGGTAGTGTCAATTGCCACCGAGTGAGGCGGTAAATTAGAGCTCTTTTGTGTTTGAGTCTTGCCTGCAGGTGCTCGGTGTTCTGCGTTCGTGAACTTCCGACGCACGCCTCTCTCTTTGCCCCTCTGTGTGTGGGGGTGGGGTCTCTCTCTCTCTCTCTCCCCAACCCCTGTCCCCCGGATTTATGTTCCACATAAGAAGCATATTTCTGCTGGAGTTTGTGTGCGTTTGTGGCATACTTTTAGATCCTGTTTTGGTTCTACACCGAAGCATAGGCTAGCCTACGGCTCATTCAAAACACGCCAAGTTGAAGTTGGTAACTCTAGATGTTCGTAAAATGAAATTAGAAAACAAACTGACCCACTTAGACATGAGGAGCTCGAAAGGATAGCCAGGAAACAAGACTTTCATTTTACTAACAAAATCTTTCAAATAAGCTTGAATTTATTATATGTAAAATGATATTCCCTGATAAAAATAAGTTAATCGATAGTTTTGAATACCATTGTGAAGGTAAAAAGAAACATTTGAGTGCAAATCATTCGGAAATTGGCCTTATTTTCCTTTCGAACCCCAGAATGTGTGCAACTACTCGTTATATGACTTGTGTCCTTGGGAAAGGCACTTTGCACAAATTTTCCTCACTTCACCCAGGTGGAAATGGGTACCCAGCTATAGACAGTGAAAGATCTTGTCAGTTTGATAGTGCTTGAGCGCGTCAAATCCGCAGCTTGCACTGTATGCTTCCGCGGAAGCTGAGAATGTTTCTGAGTGTTCTCAGAGGGTCTGCTGGGGTTGTAAAGCGCATAGAGCAAGCTCTTGAGCATGGATCATGCGCTATATATAAATGCAATTATTATTATAAATTAATTATTATTATGACTTATCAACTTATGAGAGGGGGTTAGATTTAACTTATAAATCCATGTGTACGTAACACATGAATTGAAAGCTAAAGATAGAGCGTTGTTTTCAGACTTGACACAGCGTCACTTGGTGGCAATGGACACTAATGCGTTTTTAATAAAGTCGATTGCCAACGCGTCACTTGGTGGCAATTGACGCTACCTATATTAACGTCAGTCTAAAAGGCCTTTTCTATAACAAAGTGACTATTCGGACTCGAGTCCGAATATGAAAAAATGTTATTCGGAATCTGATACTTGTCCAGCATGACATCACTTCCGACTTCCTGTGACTTGTGACTCCGGATTCCTGTCCTGCCTCACTCGTGACTCGCCTCAGGCTGGGTAGAGACCGGGATCACTTCGGGCAAAATGGCGTTTTGTGCAGGAGCCAAGTTTTTATCTTATGAATTTGATGCCGGCCTGAAAAGTTATTATAGCGCTTCTAATAAATGTTTATTTGTCAAAAGGTCATCAGAAGCAATTAAAGATGGCTCGTTAGCGTATGTCGGGGTCGGATGGGCGGCCTGCACACGAGTGGCTGTGTGTGCGTGTCGGGGAGGGAGCAGTATCGGTCCAGGCGTTGAACATCGCATACGCGTCAGCCTTTTTTCCCTCTGCAACTGATCATTATTACAATATAAACTAGTCTTGACGTAGATCTACGTAATGAATTGAACGCTAGTCTGTGGAATCAAAAGTTGCCGTATGCTCGGCTCTACACAGAAACACAACTTTTCATTGGTAAACCATCGAGATAACACAGGCTTGTTTGTATATTTGAACGAATCGGTCTTTTTTTTTTTACACAGCTCATAATATGTAGGTGCCAGGTGGTCTGCTAATCTTCAATTTTACCTCTTTTTACAACAAAGAAAGTGGGAAACGTGGGAGGTGGGGGGGGGGGGGGCGTATCAATGAGGCGGCGGGCATCGTATCGGCAGATAAAGTGTGGGGGGAACTAAGGAAAGGCGGAAAATTGGAAGCACTGAATGTTAGATCTATAGTCTATAGAACGTAGACACTTCCTTTTTTCTGGACCAGAGTCCGAATAACATTTTTTCATATCGGACTCGAGTCCGAATATGAATTTTTAAAATATATATTCGGACTCGAGTCCAAATATGAAAAAATGTATTCGGACTCGAGTCCGAATAAAGATGGCCTTTCTATAACTCTAGTAGCTATTTCATAATATATTTATAAACAAATGGGTCTACAGTAGAAGTAGAGGCAGACCGAAGAAGAGTTGGAAGGACAACATCAAGGAATGGACAGGACTGGAACTCAAAGACACACTCAGGAAAGCTGAAGACCGGAAGGAGTGGAGGAAGCTGGTGGCCAAATCTTCAAAAGCACCCTGATGGACATCAAGTCTACACGGGATAAGTGAAGGCGAAGGTGAAGAAGTAGATCTAGAATCTAGATCTAGATCATGATCAAGGTTTGGAGCAAAATTAGTAGCCTACTTTTCAGAGTGAATCATGTAAAGCATGGCTCAAACTTAAAAGGAAAAAACAAGGTAAAACAAACTACAGCCTCCTACCCTAAAGACTAATGCCATCCCGGAAGGACTTCCGTAACGAGCGACCACTACTATGAGCAGAATTTTTGAGCATTTTGAGGGCTAGGGGTAGAGGGGTAGATCTCTAGGACTCTAGGGGTAGGGGTAGGGTTAGGGTAGGCCTCTTCTTTAATGTGTTTGATTGGGTGGTTGCTCGTTACGGAAGTCCTTCCGCAATCCCAGTTTAAATACTAAAAACAAGACATCACAAACCTAGTAAAGCCCTGCAAAAACTTCCCAAGTCATCGGAAAAGACAGATTGACATGTAATGTAGAAGTAGGCATTGATTCCATTGACCCAGAATTGGGATAATGATAATCGGTTACCCGATAATCCAACATTAGATCCTAGATTTAGGTACTCTTGTCAACTGGCAAGCTCGGAATACTTTGGGTGGCAGGGAGACTGCCCCAGAATTTAGACAGTCTCTAGAGAGATCTAATCTAGATCTAGATATCTAGATCTAGATCGTTACGCAGTAGATTTTTATAATGGAATAGGTTAACATACGAGAATATTCTAACTCTACACACAAGAACAATCATGGATGGAGCTAAAGAGCTGCGCCCGACTTGCGCACTAGATCTAGAGCCGGTGCCCTGTTGTTGAGCATCTCAGATTCTCATCTAGATAATCTAGATATAGATTTCTAGATCTAGAAATCTAGATCTAGATCTAGTAGATTCTAGACGAGAGCCTAGTCTCTAGATACGGGTTATTCGGTGTACAGTCAAGCTCTGTCATGTGCTTCATGTACAAGAACAAAAGCCGAAACATCAAAAGAAGGTCCAGATTAATAGTAAATCTTCAAAGTCACTTCCCAAACCGTGAGGTCCACTCTGACTCTAAAGAGTAGGCCAAGAATAGCCTGCAATGATGAATGTCGACAAACCTACCTGTTAGGCCTGTATCCTTCAGGTTTGTGTGAACCATGCTGAACTTCCCCTTAACGATCACAGATGTAACATTGTCTCCATTGATTTTAGAATATTTCATAATCTTTAATATATCCAAGAAAGTTAGTCGCACGATCAATACTGGGTCTTTTTAATTAAAAAAGTACCACCGACGATCAGAAATAGTCCTTCTCTTCGGCCATCAAAGAAGTGTTTAGTGTTTACGAAGGGAACTGCGTCAGTCCCGGAAGCATTGTTGGATTGGTTGATGTCGACGGTCACGTGACCAAACAGTAAAAGGGGAACCCCCTTCTCAACGTGAGCGCTCTGTGTGTGCGTGTGTGTGTGTGTGTGTGTGTGTGTGTGTGTGTATCCGACTTGATGAGTTGAGGAAGCATTTATTCTAGAATTCGATCTTACAGCCAACTAATGTTTCACAATTTGTTGAGAGCACTGTTTCGCATGATAGGTTAAAACTCAAACATAAACTACTCTTGGCTCCCGGAAAGTTCTTGATTTTGTCTGCTACTAGATCTAATACTAACACATGTTGATTCTGCTGTGCTAGGTTTACACGCCTTCAACAAGTTACAGGAATTAGGGTAAATTCGTCTTGAAATAAGGCACACCTACAGTTCTTGATACTAATATTTCATCGGAATCAATCCTTTTCTCTCTCTCTCTCTCTCTCTCTCTCTCTCTCTCTCTCTCCC